AAAATGGGGTCTATATTGATGAGTTGTCTTCTGGAAGTCTTCCCCATTACTGAATTCAACTATTTGGAATCGTGAAACGGGTGAAGACCTCACCGTGCCTTAATTATACTTACTGTATCCAAGTCGTGGTAAGCAGCAAAGTTAAAATTTGCGAGTGACAATTCTTGGGGTTGACGTTGGTGCGTCATGTGACTCCTCTCCTCATCAATCAGTTTCTGGAGGGGACAACAAGGACAATCACAAAGGTCAACTGAGCAGAAGGTTTATATTTCCTCCGCGTTTTCCACTCGTACGTCATTTCACTCCATCCTTCTGTGCTACTGTGCAATCAAGGAGCTTTGATCAGATCCGTTCTCCCGTCGATCCAAATTCCATGCAGGAATTTAAGGAAAGTCAACCCCAAACCATGTTGGCCAACTCATCTGATGGAAGAGTGGCCTAGAACGTCTTTCGAACTACTGTTTCAATCCATAACATTGACTGAAAACATCTGATGAGCTACGGAAGGACATCTTCTTATCCCAGGTTTCAACGTTTGGATAGGCCCGCAGGGGTAGGCAACCTTGGCTCTTTGATGACTCGTGGACTTCGACTCCCAGAATTCCTGAGCCATCAGTGCTGGCTGAGGAATTCTGGGAGTTGAAGTCCACGAGTCATAAAAGAGCCAAGGTTGCCTACTCCTGGGATAGGGTCAACTTCCTATACTACATTTTTTGCGATGAGCCTAAAACATATACAGAATGACAGAGTTGGAAGGGACCTGGGAGGTCTTCTAGTCCAACCCCCTGTTCAAGCAGGAGACCCCGTACCATTTGAGACAAATGGCTACCCAATCTCTTGGGTAGCCATTTGTGATGGAGCGTCCATAACTTCTCTTCCACGGATGGTTTTCACTGACGGGAAATTTCTCCTTAGTTCTAGGTTGGGTCTCCTTGATTATCTTCCATTCCTAGTTCTTCTGTCTTCAGGTGCTTTGACCACCCCCACCCCTCTTTTTTGTGGCAGCCCCTTAGGATTACATTTCAACATGGTCTCCTCCACGGTTCGCTGGTTCTGATTTCAGATCTTTGGGATCGCCACAGACGTTCTTTCCAAGATCAACACGCCCACCTACTTATCTTCTCACGTGGTCAGAGCACTTACCTGGACGTTGTTGATCATGATGGAGTATGCGATGTCATTGTTCTCCAGGAAGGCCTTGACCGGTTGAAGGCTGGGGAAGGGCACACGCACATCTACGGGGAGATCGGGATGAGCCGGTGCTCGCCAGAAATCCAGCTGGCCATAGGAATCAGGAGAACATAGAAGATTGTTGACATATATGAACTTTGGAAACGCAGCCTACATAACTGACAAACATAGGAACGGCTCTGCTAGCAACCGGTTACTCATAGAACGTAGAATCTGAGGGCTGGAAGGGACCTAGAAGGCCTTCTAGTCCAGGGGTCCACAACCTGCGGGTCACAGCCCACTATCGGTCCACAGCCTATTCCCAACCAGGCCGCACGAGTGGCTGGCTGGTGTGCACATGAGTATCACAGAGGTTCATGGCCCTGTTTGTGTGAGTGTCACAGGCATTAGAGCAGGGGTAGGCAACCTTGGCTCTTTTATGACTCGTGGACTTCAACTCCCAGAATTCCTTAGCCAGCCATGCTGAGGGGAAAGGGAGAGGTTTCCATGCTGAGCCATGCTGACTCAGGAATTCTGGGAGTTGAAGTCCACCAGTCATAAAAGAGCCAAGGTTGCCTACCCCTGGACTAGAGCTTCATTCTCGCAGGCACTCGGGGCGTTGGTGCTCTCAACTTCACTCGCACGAACAACCGTTGCTCACACGCCTGCCCCTCCCACAAAACCATCCCCTCTTTCTCCCCCCCCCCCCCCCCCCCCCCCCCCCCCCCCCCCCCCCCCCCCCCCCCCCCCCCGGCTCCAGGCTGCCAACCCGGAAAGCCCAACCCCTGCTCCAGGTAGGACACCATCTTGCACAAATGGTTGCCTAGTCTGTTTTTAAAAACCTCCAGTGATGGAGCGTGCACAGTTTTACTTCGCCAATCGTTCTCACAGTCAGGAAATTCCTCTTTATTTCTAGGCTGGATCACTATTTAACGATGTTCCACCTGTTACTTCTCCTGAAAGTCACCTGAGTGGGGCAAATGGGTGTGGAGCCTTCTTGGAACTGCTGAAAGGACCGTGTTGTAGACAGGAGATAGATGATGATAATAATATTAATAATAATAATAATAATGATAAAGTTGGAAGGACCTTGGAGGTCATCTAGTCCAACCTCCTGCTCAGGCAGGAAACCCTATACCATTTCGGACAAATGGCTGTCCAGTCTCTTCTTTAAAACTTCCAGTGTTGGAGCATTCACCACTTCTGGAGGCAGGTTGTTCCACTGGTTAATTGTTCTCACTGTCAGGAAGTTTCTCCTTAGTTCTAGGTTGCTTCTCTCTTTGGTTAGTTTCCACCCGTTGCTTCTTGTCCTGCCTTCAGGCGCTTTGGAGAATAGCCTGACTCCCTCTTCTTTGGGGCAGCCCCTGAGATATTGGAAGACTGCTATCATGTCCCCATTTGCACCACTCAGGTGACCCTGAGGACACAGACAAACCTCCAAGTGGTCTCAATGGCTTCCTTGTTTTTCTTCGAAGACGTTTCGCTTCTCATCCAAGAAGCTTCTTCAGCTCTGACTGGATGGTGGGAATGGAAGGATTTATACTCCTTGCAGACAGCTGGTCATTTGCCTTCTTTTAGAGAGTCATTGAGGCCACTTGCAGGTTTGTCTGTCTCCTCAGGGTCAGCTGAGTGCTGCAAATGGGTGTTCCAAACCTTTTAGCAGTTCTAAGAAGGCTCCACATCCATTTGCAGCACTCAAGTGACCCTGAGGACACAGATAAACCTCCAGGTGGTCTCAACGACCCTCTAAAAGACTGCAAATGACCAGCTGTCTGCAAGGAGTATAAATCCTTCCATTCCCCACCATCCAGTCAGAGCTGAAGAAGCTTCTGGGATGAGAAGCGAAACGTCTTCAGTCCTGATCATACGCAAGGTTCTTGTTTAACAATACCTGAAGGTTCTCCAGAGCTTCCAGCTCCTTCAACTTCTCCACCTGAGCTTCATCAGCGGCCGTGATTCTCAGCACCTGATGACTGCAGAGACAGTGAGTGGGTTGGGGTGTCTTTACATTAGTTAGGAAAAGGTAAATTGTTTGGGTGACATGTCCCCATATCAGCCTACCCTAGGGTGTGTGGGGTGACAGAAACAGAAGCCCGCCCACCCCCAAAAAACAGAACTCTCAAAACAGGTAAAAGCAGATACAGAGAGATGGGAAGAGGGGGGGGATCCCTGCAATGGCTGGCTGGGCCCAAGAGGCAGGAACTGGGGGATAGCAAAGCAGCCAATGAGAAGCTAGGAATGCATTACTCAAAACAGGGCGCCTGGGAGCTATTTTTGAATTTTTTTCCCTATTTTTCTCGCACAAGTAGAATAGAATAATAGAACGACAGAGTTGGAAGGGACCTTGGAGGTCTTCTAGTCCAACCCCCTGCTCAGGCAGGAAACCCCAGACCAGGGGTCTGCAACCTTGACAACTTTAAGACTTGTGGACTTCAGCTCTGGGAGCTGAAGCCCACAAGTCTTAACAGTTGTCAAGGTTGCAGACCCCTGCCCCAGACCATTTCAGACAAATGGTTGTCCAGGTGATGTTGTAATGCTTGCTCTCTGACACTAGGTGCCGCTAGAGTGCTTTTTGCATCGATATATATCAGGGGTCTTCAAACTTAGCCCTTTTTTATGATTTGTGGACTTCAACTCCCAGAATTCCTCAGCCAGCACAGGCAGATTACAGCCTCATAAACAGATAATACAAAACAATTAAAAAGGCTAAAAGATTAAAGACTTGTGGACTTCAGCTCCCAGAATTCCTGTCTGTCTGAGGAATAATAATAATAATGATGATGATGATGATGATGATGATGATGATGATAATAATAATAATAATAATAATAATAATAATAAAGTTGGAAGGGACCTTGGAGATCATCGAGTCCAACCCCCTGCTCAGGCAGGAAACCCTATACCACTTCGGACAAATGGCTGTCCAGTCTCTTCTTAAAAGTCCACAAGTCCTAAAAGGGCCAAGTTTGAAGACCCCTGATATATACTGTCTAAAGCAGAGTTTCTCCACCTCGGCAGCGTGGACTTCCACTCCCAGAATTCCCCAGCCAGCACAGGCAGATTACAGCCTCATAAACAGATAATACAAAACAATTAAAAATGCTAAAAGATTAAAGGCAGTAGGCTGTAGACAGGAGCACCCCAACGGATCTCTTCTTCAATCACAGCATTGTTAAAGCTTGGGGGAGAGTCCTTCCCAGCCTGACATGAAGATCAGACGATTCCTTATTCCTTCTCCAGCCTTGGGGGGCTTTGGAGAATAAGGTGACCCCCCCACTTCTTTTTGGCAGCCGCTTAAATATTGGAAGACTGCTATCATGTCCCCCCTCGTCCTTCTCTTCATTAAACTAGACATACCCAATTCCAGCAACCGTTCCCTATATATTTTAGCCTCCAGTCCCCTAATCATCTTTGTTGGGATTCTGCTTAGAGGCTGGAAAGGGAACCCCCCCCTCCAATTGTGAAATCGTCCAGCCACTGATTAGCTTAAAATATCCAAAAATGGCACCAGGTAAATTCCCTCCCGGTCGCCATGCCCTTTTCCTACCCAACACCCGTCTTTACCTACCCCACAAAGGTGTCGGTGGCCAACGCCGCAGCCAGCCAAGTCGCCAGGACCACCAGGACCCTCATTGTCACCGAACGGGGCACCAAATGGGAATTCCTTTTCTTCCATCGCCTTTTTATACGCCCTCCTAAACGAGCAGCACGTTGCCTTGAACCTCAATAGAGGACGCCCCAGCCGGCTGTCCACTTTCTCACAGCTCTGTTGGGAAAGACACACAAACACACACACAGGCTCACCTACAATTTCACCTGGCAGGTGTTTGGGGAACACGCCAGCTGTCTTGATGGGAGGGAGAGCGAGGGGTCTGCTGTGTGTGTGTGTGTGTGTGTCTTCTGCCCAAAACTCTGACAAGGATGGATTTCTTGCAAAAACAAACCCAGCATTATTGTATAGGTCAGGGGTCTTCAAACTTGGCCCTTTGATGACTTGTGGACTTCAACTCCCAGAATTCCTCAGCCAGCCTCCATTTTGTTGGTTAGATTTAAAACAGGGGTCTTCAAACTCGGCCCTTTGATGACTTGTGGACTTCAACTCCCAGAATTCCTCAGCCAGCCTGTTCCTAAGTTTGTTTGTTTGTTAGATTTATTTGCTTCTAGGAGGTTTTCCATCTAACACCGCTGTTGTACAAGCCGCACAGGCTCCCTCCCTCTGCAATTCAAGGTGCTAGTCCTCATCTTTAAAGCCCTCCCTTGGCACAAGACCAGGTTATCTGCAGGATCACCTTTCCCTAAGAAGGTCCACTGGTCCTATCGGGTCAGAGACGGTGGGCACGCTCTTAATCCCTAGGGAATTCTGGGAGTGGTAGTCTGCGCATTTTAAAATGGCTGAGGTTGAGAAAACCAGGGTCTGAAGCCTTGCAAGGTGATGTTGATCCGTTGCTGAAACTTCCAAGGTCTCTGGGTTTAAAAACAGCCCAGATTAATGGTGAGAAAAAGTCCCTCTGGTGCAAGGGAAGAGTTTCCAACCACGTCATGTTGGTTAATGGTTAACAGTTTGATTTTTTTTTCCCCCAGAGGAAAATTCCCACCTGTGACATGAACAGATGCTCTGAGTGTGTGTGTGTGTGTGTGTGTTAAGTGTTTTTTTACGATGCACCCGGTCAGCCCAAATATGGGAAGAAGAAATCTATATATCTATAATCTATATATCTGTATAGATTATATATCTATAATCTATATATCTTTCTCACTCTCTGTCTTTCCCTTTCTCTCTTTCTCTTTTCCTTTCTCTCTTTCCCTCTTTCTTTCTCTTTTTCTTTTTCTCTCTCTATTTCTCTTTCTCACTCTGTCTTTTACTTTTTCTCTTTTCTTTCTCTTTTTCTTTCTCTTTTTGTCTCTGTTTCTCTTTCTCCCTTCCTTCCTTCCTTCCTTCCTTCCTTCCTTCCTTCCTTCCTTCCTTCCTTCCTTCTTTCCTTCCTTCCTTCCTTTCTTTCTTTCTTTCTTTCTTTCTTTCTTTCTTTCTTTCTTTCTTTCTTCTTTCTCTTTCTTTCTCTCTCTCTTTGTGAATGTACACAGACATTTTTATCACCCGGCAGGGTGTGTTATTTTTAAAATGTTCCAAAGCCACAGGCCAGACCGAATTTTGCCACATCAGCAGTGTCTGAATGAAATCTATCTTTGGAAGCGGATGATCCAGAGACAGGTGGCTTTGCTGGAAATGTACTGCATGAAAACGCATGCAGAACAATATAACGTATTTTCAAGAGAGATTGGACTACCGCTTGTCTGAAGTGGTATATAGAGTCTCCTGCTTAAGCAGGGGGCTGGACTAGAAAACCTCTAAGGTCCCTTCCAGCTGTGTTATTCTATTCTTCCGCTTTTTTTAAAAAAAAAATTCTTTTCTGCAGAAAAGAAGCTTTGCTTTACAGATGAGTAAACCAGCAGGAAATGGGACTGGCATAGGGCAGAGATAAAGGGCCCATCTGCCAGGTGACACCTGGCTGGATTTGGTCCTAGGTGGGGGGGGCACAGAGTGTAGGCAAAAAAGTTTAAATTGGCAGTGATGACTATGCAATCAATGCAATCCACCTGTTTTTTATGCGTGTTTCACATACTGCGAACATCCTTGGATTTGACCTTATAAAGCGGGTTTTTCAGTCTCTGCCATTTTAAAATGTCTGGACTTCAACTCCCAGAATTCCTCAGCCAGCATCAGATGGACTCCGACTCCCAGAGTTCCCTTTCCTCAGAAGCAGCCCGTTTCCTGTTGGGCACATCCATCCTGGAGCTGATTACACACACACACACACACACACACACCACACACACACACACCCCTATTTTTCTGGCGCAAGTGACGTAATGCTTGCTTTCGGACAGTAGGTGGCACTACAGTATTGTTTGCATCCCTGTTAAAGCAGCCTTTTTCAAGTTTCAGTCAGTTTTAGCATGTGTGGACTTCAACTCCCAGAATTCCTCAGCCAACTTGGCTGGGGAATTCTGGGAGTCGAAGTCCACACGTCTTAAAGTTGTTGAAATTGGTAGACACTGTCCTAAAGGCTTTTAAATGTATGATTTCCGGGGCCTAGAAATCCAGAAGTGGAGAAATTAAAACTGTCTCTGATATTTTAGGGTTAATGATATGTGTGAGCCCGATCAGTGAGTATCTACATCAGGGGTTTTCAAACTTGGCCCTTTTATGAGAAATTCAACTCCCAGAATTCCTCAGCCAGAATTCCTCAGCCAGCATGCCTGGCTGAGGAATTCTGGGAGTTGAAGTCCACAAGTCATAAAAGGGCCACGTTTGAAGACCCCTGATCTACATGAAGAGATGTTTTCCTCTGTAATCTTTCCTCCATTAAGCTTCGGGTGCAGCCAAGTCAAATACAGCAGGGGTCTTCAAACTTGGCCATAAATACAGGGAGTCCTGGATTTACAAAAGTTTGTTTAGTAACCGTTCGAAGTTACAACAGCACTGAAAATTCCAGGTTGCTTCTCTCCTCAGTTAGTTTCCATCTGTTGTTTCTTGTCCTGCCTTCAGGTGCTTTGGAGAAGAGGTTGACCCCCAAATATTGGAAGATATTATGTCTCCCTTAGTCCTTCTTTATAACTTGGTTATAAGTAATCAAACCAACTGTCTTCCCTCAATTTACCAAGCCCCAATAAAACTAATCACTAGAAGATCATTGTTGGATATGTTGAAGGAAAAGTCTAAATCAGGGTCCAGTCCAAGCCAGGAATAAACAACACGGTGACTGCTTTAGAAAGAAGGTTGCAGTTTATTGAAGAGCAGAGCCAGACAGAAACGTGGCTCTGGGGCAACTGACCACATGGAGCTGGGAGTGGTGAGTTTTTATACCTTCTTGGGCTTTTGTGTTTGGAGTTGTTCCTGTTTGAGGCTTTGTATTTCCTGTGTCATGTACTTTGACCTGAGTCTGAGTGTGCCCTTTTGGTATTGTTGGGTTAATATTATATCTTGTCTTAGAGTTTGGGTGGGGTATGTAGATTTTAGGTGTCTTTGTCTTCTTAATCTTCTAGCTTCTAGCTGGAGGGCTTCACCTTCCTGAATGGATTATTACATCTGCATTTCTACAGAGCTGGTTTCTGCTTGGTGGAGGGAGACTTGGGGCTATTAAGAAAAAAACTGGGCATGCTTTTCTACCTCTTTTAAGATCCTTTGAGGAAATATAATATTCTGCCCTTTTAATATTTTTTTCTCTGGGGGGGGCGACTTCCCACAGATACGAGATGGGTGGCATATAAATTTTATCAATCCATCCATCCATCTCTACAGCTCAGGGTTGAATCCTTGGTGCTCTCTGAGTTGTGGTCCCCTTTTTCAACCTTCTGACGAGCCAAGTCCACGGGGGACTTAAGAGCTGCAGCGATTCACTTAACAACTGTGTAAAGAAAGTTTGTAAAATGGGGCAAAACTGACTTAACAAGCATCTCGGTTAGCAATGGAAACTTGGGGCTTGACTGTGATTGTAAGTCAAGGACTGCCTGAATACCCAAAGTAAGAGCACAAGTCACCTCATTCAGAGCCTCAGAGTGAAGAAAAACGAAGACAAAGTCCAAATGGCAACTGGAAGCAGGATTTATTGAGAAAACTGCCGAAGAAACATCTGAAGAAGGTTTAATCCAAAATCTTGGATGTCTCCTCGTCTCAGAAGCCACAGGAGAATTACAATGAAAAGAGGAAGATTTAGGTCTGGGCAATATTTGCCTTCATTCCTTAATGCAAGAACAGGGGTCTCCAAACTCGGCAACATTAAGACATGTGGACTTCAACTCCCAGAATTCACCAGCCAACATGGCTGGCTGGGGAGTTCTGGGAGTTGAAGTCCACAAGTCCTAAAGTTGCCGAGTTTGGAGATTCTGGGCTAGAGCATTTTTGCTCAGTGGCCTGCAGACAAGCTGGGACTCCAACTCCCAGAATTCTGGGCATGCTGGGCAATGTAGTCCCAATCCACTCAGGCAAGAAGCTTGCTGCTAAATATGCCTCCCTGTCGTTTAAAGGATTCTGGGAATTGTAATCCAAACACACCAGAGGCCACCATGATGGGATCGTACTGTATTTAATAAGTTAGGCATATCAGATCTGGGCCGCAAAAAAATTAGTGACCACTAGGGGGCAGCAACTGCATAGAGATTTCTGCACCTCTGCTGCCCCCAGTGGCCATTATCTGAACTAACTGATTGGTGATTATTTAAAATCTGATTTTTTCCCCTCTTTTGGGGGCATCTAAAGGGATCTGTCGCTCCTGTAATCGACTTTTTGCTAGCATCAGAATATGAAGCCAAAATCCTGTCTTCTCCCAGATCTTCTTAGTTCTCAGTAGGGGTGATCCCGCACGTGCTCCATGATCTTTTTCAGCCCCAGCCACGTCTCCTGAGCGGTGGGGATGATCTGTTTGGCCGGCAGGAGGAAACCGTGGCGCCCTGTGTCTCTCAGCTCCAAGGCGAAGGAGTACTTGATCCCGTAATCGTAGCTCCAGTCGATGCTTCCACCACTTGCCTGGTCTGGAATGAAGACCACAGGAAAACATGGGTCTAACCAAACTCAGTAGGTTGGGATCTCTACCCTGCAAGGGCATCGGAGTCTTAGACCAAGGGGTCTTCAAACT